CAAACAGAGTATGAAATTTTTAATAAAAATGTTCATGGTCTATGTGCTCCATTTTTCAACATTCTGTATAGCTACTAGAAGTCCTTGCGATCTTGACTCTTCAGTCTAAATTTTATGCCGAGTAGTATAATGAAGATAGTGTATATGCTGCGCTAAAATCGCATATGCATATACAACGAGGTTAAAACAAAGGACCTTGGTATATGTTAACAAGATGTCAAGCTTTTCTACTAACGCGAGGCCACCAAAGTACCTTGTGTTCAGATCTCATCTGGATAATTCTATTCTACATCATTTTCGACTTAATTTTGCCAACGAACTGGTTTAGTCAACTTTTATTTTCTAAAAACCAGCTTAATTTTTGATAGATGCATTCGGTTTATTTATCTATTTAGTCGGGTCCGTACGGTTCTTTGTAACCTTTTAGCATGCCCTTGTTGCTGCTCTGTCGTCAGACTTAAAGCACCTCATTTTTTTTATTTATGTTAATTGTTTATTGTTTTTGAAAACTAACGAAATGGCAAGTGACAGGTGTACAGACCTTCGTAAGATGCCACACCAGGCAATAAAATGTGAAAATTAAAAAAATTAAAAGATTTTATGACGTGTAAAAATAATAATAATTATATATTCATAGCCAAAAACGGAATGTTATGATATGTTCCCAGCCCACACCCTGCCACTTAACATACTGACATGTGAAAATATGAATGGCAAAGTGTAGAGGGTGGCACCTGCAGAGTCAGGTGGGTAAATTTCTGCTCCTCAATGTTGTGTTTAGGCGACAAGACAACATGGGAGAAAAGCTGAGACACGTGCTGATTCTCCTTCTCATCATCCTGACGGAACTCAACATGCCAGGAGCTGGGCGCGGCTGTTCAAAAGCCACACGTGAAAGCTGCAAGATAGGAGACTGGTTGTACAGACGGCACTACTTCTGCTGCAACTACGATAGGCGGACCTACCCAAGTATCCCCCAGAACCTCCCAAGGTCCACGATCTACCTAGATTTAACCCGTAATTGGATAACTAACATTCCTCTAAACGCATTCTCCAGGGTACCCGAGCTCGCTTACTTATACCTGTCCGAAAACAGCATACATAACATTACGCCTGGTGCGTTCTCAAACCATCGTAAGCTGTACTCCGTCAAGCTGACCGCAAACTCCATAACACACCTCACAAATGGTTCATTCTCCAATCTTTGCGATCTTCAAGAGTTATATTTGGATAGAAACCAAATAAGTTACATCCATCCAGGTGCATTCTCTAAATTACCTAAACTCGTGTCCTTGTACCTGACGTCAAACCAAATAACGTCCATCCAGTCGGGCACATTTTCTAACCTACCAAGACTCGACATTTTACACCTGTGCTCCAACCTGATAACTTCCATCCAGCCAGGTGCATTCACGAATACAACCAAGCTCCGATATTTGTTCCTAGATTCAAACCGGATATCTGTCCTTCCCAAGTATGCTTATAGCATGTTCTCAGCAATTGACGCAGTACATATTAAAAACAACCCCTTTCATTGTGACTGTAGCATGCGTCCCTTCAGGCTCAAAATGACTGGGTCTGCTTGGTTCGAAAAACGAATAACCTGTAAAACACCTGACAACCTCTCTGGACAAATGCTCAAAGATATTAATCCTGATGACCTGATTTGTGTTGAGACCACCACATCAACATTGTCTTCTAGTATTTATACCTCATTCACTTCATCTGTAGTGTCAACGTCGTCTTCATTTGACAACATAGAAATCAATGCTAGCCCAACAACATCTTATGCAGGCTATACATATGACACACAGCCCCTTGTTACACATTCTGAAACAGCTAATAACTATTGCAATGGCACCACTCTTTCTTCATATTACCACTGGCACTTCAAAACCAATGCTGACTCAACAGCGCATTATTATGTAGACATAACGAACGAGTCACCAACTACAACCCTTCCAATTACTTCAGAAAGTTCCCTTAAATCTACTCCCAGATACCCACTACCTGTTACCATAGGCTACACCACTGGTCCAATAGTTGGCATTGTCCTTTTCGGCAGTATCTTTTACATCATTAGGTGGACGAGAAAGATCAGAAATCTTCCTTCAGGCCCAAGTCCCAAAGCTATTGTAACTAACACAAACACCACAGCTGTAGTGGCTAGTGAGCATGATAACCAATATGCAGATATAGATCAACATGATCAGGCAGGACAGTCTCAGGCCATCGCTAACCCAAAAGAAAACACCTCATCTGTTGTAACTCATCACCAGTATGAAGACATAG